AAGCCTTCATTAGAGAAAGGTAAAGGAACATACAGTGAACATATAGATTAATGTAGGTGTTGAGCAGCAAACTCGTAGTGTAGTAACTCCCTCCCAGATGGTGTTAGGAGGAACTCACGTGGTGTAGTAGTTCCCTCAAATGGTGTTAGGAGGGACCTGGCGTGGTGTAGTAATTCCCTCACAGATGGTGTTATGCGGGGCCTCACGTGGTGTAGTAATTCCCTCACAGATGGTGTTATGCAGGGCCTCACGTGGTGTAGTAATTCCTTCACAGATGGTGTTATGCGGGGCCTCACGTGGTGTAGTAATTCCTTCACAGATGGTGTTATGAGGGGCCTCACGTGGTGTAGTAACTCCTTCACATGTGGTGTTATGAGGGGCCTGACGTGGTGTAGTAATTCCCTCACAGATGGTGTTATATGAGTGAGGTGTGGTCCCAGGCCTTCCTATCGTAGACGGATTAACACATCGCTGGTTGTTGGGTCTCACGGGCCGTTATCACTGGGTAACTGGGACCTCACTGTGTGAAGGTTACCTTGGGTGCGACTGTTACTGTTGAGTTGTTCTCACTGACTTAAGCACTGTTCACCTCTGTTTAACACTGGTTCCTTTCCTAAATGAAATTGTAACTTCTGGCGAGAACTAGTTGATATTCCGGTGGGGAGGAGGGTTCAGGGGAGGGGGTTGGTATGGGCCAACTTAACAGTTGACCTGGCTGCTCCGACAGGAGCGCCAGGTACGTCTTGACCCTTCGGTGGTCAAGGATGTACAATGCAGCTTGGTGCTGGGAAGGCAGCATGGTTACAAGCATGATGTAGAGAGAGCTGGTTGGTGAGGATGCTCAGAGGAGGACCAGCTTGTGGGTCGCCATGCTCGCCGGCGGGAGCGAGGACCGCCAGGCAGCGGCGGAGGTGTTGCTGGCTGGCTGGTTGGTGTAGGTAGAAAGAGACAGGTCACCACGAGGTCAGGTCTTAAATAGCGGGGGTAGACGTGGCTTAGTAGTTGACCCCCGCTCCGTGATGTATGGCGGCGCTGGTTGACGAAGCACACACTGTGGAATTCGTGGGGTCGGCTACGCAGCGACAAACAGCGTTTGTAGTGGAGAAATCCACTACACTACTTCCCCAAAAAGTCGATAATTATCGACTTTTCGGGAAAGTAGATATTTTCCATTTTCTATGATATCAATTTCACGTTTTCTATGATAGTCTACTTGGAAAAATTATGTAATATTTCACAAAAAGTCGATAATCTACTTCCCCGAAAAGTTGATAATCTACTGTCCCGAAAGCAGAAAAATCTACTTTTCGGGAACGTAGATTACCAACTTTCCTGGATAGTAGATATTTCCCATTTTTTATACAAATTTCCCGTTTTCTATGATAATGTGCTTCGCAAAATTAGGTAATATTTCACAAAAAGTCCACCCTGGCCCAACCTGATTCACCCTGGCCCACCTTGGCCCCCCCTGGCACACTAGGCAGAATCCCACCGTCTTCTGGGGCAGAATCCTACTGCATTCTGAGGCAGAATCCTACCGTCTCCTGGAACGAAATCCTACTGTATTTTGAATTGTAATCCTACCGTCTCCTGGGTTCAGAATCCTACCGTCTTCTGGGGCAGAATCCTACCGTCTTCAAGGGCGGAATTCTACCGCATTTTAGGCGGAATCCTACCCTATTCTGGGCCAGAATCCTACCTAACTTAACCTATTTGGACATAACCTAACCTAAGCAATGAAACATAAAAATTAGAAAACAATAAAAATAATACAAAAAATATATGAGTTAGCCATCAAAATAAATAGGTTTTCTTTGATTCTCCAACAAAGAAAACTGCCTGACTTTTCTTCTTGTGACAGACCATATTCACAAGATGTAAAAGTGCTTCCTTGGAACATTAGAACCATAAATCCTACCGGATTTTTGGCAGGGTGGGCCACGTTGGGCCAGGGTAATTAGCATTGCAAAAGTAATTACAAATTTCTAAAATTCATTTGAAGAAGCAATAATCCAGATATCAAATTTTGGTTAACAGATCCTTAAGCAGCATGTTCAGGAGTACCTATACTGAGATTTTGAACAAAATCTATTTTTTGGACGAAATGACAAAAATTATAAGCCTCACCCCTTACAGGATTTTTGGCCAAAAAATATTTTTTCTCTCAGAACTAAAATTTTATGTGCCTAACTAAAGTACATCCAGAATAATACACAAGCACCATTACAACACAGGCACAGTTCTAATGGGCATAATGTTAATGGTTGGGTTAAGCTAGAACCTATTAAGGCATGCAACCTTTTAAGTACAGTAATTACTTTACAGGAGGGTTTATTCTCTAATGATTATAATCATTAGAAAATAAACCATCCTGTTCAGTAGCATCAAAAAGACATTGCAATAAATAGGTAACTTCATTAACATTCAATACTCATCAAACTTTATTAACTGAAGACTAGATATTATAAATGGCAGTACTGTACATATAATAAAATAATGTGAGCTTGTTCTCATACACATCTGATAGCAACACAGTATCAGATATTCAGTATTAATTATTAATGTGTAAAACTAATATATTTGCTTCTAACAACTAAATTTTCATGAAATCACAAAAGAGAAGATTATAACAGGAATATGTAATATTTATTGTATGTTTATAGGAACATCACTGTCAAAGAATTTTTTTATAGACTTTCCCTAATTTGCTGTCATTCATTTAATCTAGCTGCCTCACTACAGTTCTCCTTTAGTGTCAAACTTATATATGACACACCACCATAAGATTTTTACTGCTGAATGATCAAGACTATTTATTTTACCAACACGAAAAACCCATAAATGTGGATGTTTTCATAGTTAATTAAGATCACAGTAATACCGTAGCTGCCTTTCCAATATTACACCTTTTAACTGAAAGATTGATTTTTACAGTTCTAGTCCACCTGGAGTTAACAAGTTTATTTCAAGGCTATACCCTGTAGTCTCCCACCTAATTATGCAGACAATTAGACCATAAATAAGAGTTGCAGCCATACAGTGCAGTACTGTACCATAGCTCATACAAGTCCACTTTTATTTAATTAAGTTATTACAATCATAGAATACTTAAATGGATGGACGGTCAGTTACTAAAGTATTGTCACATCTTCCACTGAAGGACAAAAAACACAATATGTATCTCATATTTAGGATACAGCAATGTGAATAATAACATATATCAACACTCACGGGTCCCAGCTGCACGCCAAAAAAATTTCCACTATCGTCTAATGGCAAATTATTTATACTGTACTATTAATCATAAAATGATCATTCTGGTTATAATTTGATGAACATTTTATGAAGAAGGAGAGTAAATATGATGCAGGGAGGCTATACGCTGTCAGACGTATAACATCAACAAAGTGCGTATGAACTACAAGGACACAATCAACACCATAGAATGAGACCAATTCACAGTTCACACACATGAAGACCCCTGCATTACCAAACAACTTAATACAGTACACACATTTGTATATTAAGACCCAGAGAGTGTCACAACTGCTGGATTGGCTTCTTTATGTATCCGTTATATTCTCATAAAAACTGACACCTGACCATACTGTTACACCTACAAAACAAAGATGTGATAGAACAAGCTCCTTCTGATGGACGAAAATTGAGGATAATACCTGATGTACACTTCTGGAATGGTAAGACACACTGGAGCATCATCTAATGCCACTATATTGTACTTGTAATGTTACTGGAAGCCTTTAAAAGCAACGCTGGTACAGTAGTTATTCTTCACACGGTCACAGTACTAGTCAACTAAACTAGACAGCCTTTGCTACGTGTTAATGCTCTACTATTATTTGACAAGGGAATGCTACCAATTCAGTCTCTTACATTTCCTTCTACAGTACAATGACTTATAACAAGCTAAACTCCCTAACTACCCAGGATGTAAAAAATCACTTTTCCAGCACCTGATACACACTAGTCGCATACAGTACAAGAAATTACTATTGTATTGTACTCTTCTGATTATTAAAAATCAACATATTTTTTATTCACAAATAAATAATGTATAAATCACTACATTGCAGTACTGTATCACAATAATAATGCAAATCAATATTTTGCTGCATCATAAAAAAATATGTAAATAAATTTATTGTTAAAATACAAAAATTATATAAATAAATATACAGTATTACTGAATAACAATAATAATAATAATAACACACGTCAATATAATGATGAACCACAATACAGGTACAGTACACCCTGCTTAACACAGGAGATATGTTCCAAAATACCTGTAGTGCTACATTAAGTGAAACAAGTTTTCTTGCACCCTAATGTGATAAATTGTGGTACATTTCAGGAAAAAATCACTAAAACTTAAATCACAAATAAATAAAATTATTACAAAATAAAATACAATGCAATAGTACCACTCACAGGTGGCAAAGTTGGGGAGGTAGAGGAAGGGGGAGAGTGAGTAAGTCTAACGGGCTTTAGGCCAGCCAATGAACCTCAAACAATACTGTATTCACACAGTTGTGAATTGCAGAGACCTGCTAATTTTCTCTTAATACATGTTTTTCAAGTTTCAATGACAATATTTAGGTTTTAAGCACAGTTTTAAAGTGCTAAAGTAAGGAATAAGGAAGAATGCAACGCTCACAATACTGTATGGAGTACATAATCAAGTTTCAGGTACAGTAATTTTTTCCCACCAGGGTACAGTACAGTACAGTATTTACAAACTAGAACACACACACACACTATAATCTATGTCATAACAATGCTACTTGGAATATAATTTGGCTATAACATTGGCAAGTTTGTATATACAGTATTCCCTAATACAAACACTCATCTGTTTCCTCTCACCTGCCATTGCCTCGCTATGAAGGAGGGCGGCCTGAGGTATGAGGATGTACTGTACACACTCTTCACCATTGACTGTCATTATTCACAGATAAAACAATATGTTTAATTGCTCATTTTGGACTAGGTTTGTAAGAGATACAAAATAGAAATTCCCATGTAATGCACCAAGTCTGGACGGTTAGTTGCTGCACTTCAGGTACCTAAGAGGGATGGAATGAGAAGGTAGCCACTTAAAATGGCATCTGACAAAAAATCTGGTTAACCTGAGACCAGATGTTTAAAATAGAAAACTACCATAATTTCCATCTTACAGTTATGTAACATTACATATAGCTGTAATACTGTATCCAACACTAAAAACTTTCATCTTTTTCACTGTTAATAATATTGCAAGATGTACAGTTACTCAAAACACTAACTTTACTGTGGGGGGGGGGGTGAAGAATGAACACTGTCACCTGCTGTTTCAGGAGGGTTGTCAAAATCCTTCATCCATTGTGTTATATTGTCTAAGATAGTTTATTGAGCAACTGTACATCACTATCACCTGATACTCTTATATAAAATGCAAACAAATAAATAAATAAAAAGCAGAAACCTATCTTAAGTTAAAAAGCCCCAATAAAAATCTGTAAAAACATTATCACACCAATAGTAAGAATCATTTGATCTCTATAACACACAAGGAATTAACATCATTCGTAACAAAAACATCAACAGTAAAATCAACAACAATTCAAACATTTCTATAACAACATAATTACCCCCTGCAAATTTTAGGTGATGTCAATTGCTGTATATTTTATTTGGTTAAAAATCAAACTACAGTATCAATAAACATCCAGGCATTTCTCACACCTACCAAGAAACATTCCACTAAATCCTACGAGTATGACTTCCAAGTTAGTCAATTTATTTAGGGGGCTTATCCTTTTAACCATTTTTCTCATAATATCTAAAGTTTACACGAAATATTCAAGTTAAGTTTTAAATATACATGAGTCAACTGGATCACTGTAAACAAAAACATTAATGCCCACTTAATTAATGGTTGTAATCCAAATATTTTATGTGTACGTATATAAGACCTTTGGAAATTGATAGTTAAAGTTTCTGATGCCGGCAAGGATAGTGGATTGATGTACTGGAAGCTCCATGAAGCTTTAACTCAAACTGGTATTATGTTGTACTGTACAGTATACTAGTCCAGTGTTTGGGATTTAAATTTATGAAAAAATAAAATAAATAAAAAATAAGCAAGCGCATTACGTACAGTAATATCCAAGTAATTTTTAAATGCAGCCATCCACTACAAGAACCAGACTACCACTACTATGGCTGCTAAGGCTTCCTCAATCATCAACTCCTGTAGAATTTAGCATCTTATTACTTTTCTTTCTATTTCAATAATTACTGAACTATTACAACAGAACATTAAATAAAACTTATTGTTTCTAAGGAAAACATCAAAAACTTCAACAGAGAAAATTTAACTTTTATGAAATTTCTCATAAAGAAAGATGTCCTGTGCATGTTTTCCTTAACAATAATTTAATCTTACTTTCACCATGTAAGTGTTTCATGAACCACAAGATGGTGTAAATTAAGTCTAAAACTGTACAGTACATCAATACATGTGAAAAGATTTAAAAAAATGGAGGAATGATGCATAGAATCCCATTATATAGCGCACAGATATGTCACCTGTCGAAATGCATGAATTTAAATATCCAGAGAGTATGTCTTGTCTAGCAGCAGGTCGCACTATCTAATGCATCAGTGTAAAATACTGCATAACAGTTTTTTATCTAAAAAACTAGAGTAAAAAATGGAAGGAAGAGGCTCTGCCAGGGAATGATCAAGTTATGAGATATCACAAGGTCAATCATCAATGATCCAGAGGCCATAAAAGCATAGTTATTTCCTGTTTCCTCAAAACCCATTACTTTTCCTGGGTGAGAGTGAACACCTAAACACCAGAAGGGAGGATTTATTTACAAGGGAAAATGGGTTGTGAGGCAAAACAATGATGCCCTGTTTCTTCTGCATAACAGCCAATGAACCTTAATATGGCCATGTTCCACCATAGACATCCTTTACAAATAATATATTTAACTTATCTAACCATTGACCTGTGTACACCATGTGATGATATGTTTCCATTCTTTACACATGTTTCATCTTCCTCTTGATCAATTAGAGCAATATATACTAATGAAAACTGTCAAACTGCAACTAAATGCAAATTAAAAACCAAAAGTTTCGTCTAGAGTTGCAGGCTGAAGACAATAAGAATATTAGTTTTAAAGATAATGATCTGAATATACTGATCTGAGAATTCTTAAAATCTGGTATTTTCATGTTGTGAGTCTTCTACTGAGTGTGAGGATTATCATAACTGTCTGCATCATACAGTGCAGTACACACAAATCTGCTCCTAATATCTACCACATGGAAGTCAACAGTGGAGAATGAGGTGTATCAACAACACTGCCTAAGAGAGAAAAATGGAATGCATATCAAATGTACAGATAACGTTAAAGCAGGAAGACATCAATACAAGAAAACAAAATAGCTCTCTCTATCATACACAAACAAAGTAAATAAGTAAGTGACTTTGGCACTTGTACAATATGTGCCCAAGCAATACCATATTCTAAAATCACTCAACCACTTCCCCATAATTTTCCAATAAAGAAAGTGATCATCAACACATTTCACTTCTTCTCCTCCTTTGCTTGTCCTCATTTAAGATAAACAGGATATGCTCTTAGTTAACTGACAGATCACAGTAATCTAGTAATCTTGCTATTTTCTTAACCATCTATACAACTTGACCTCTACATATATATATATGCTGAGGCCCTTCCATAAATTTCAGTTCATGTTCACATGAATCAAAATTACCTATATAAGCTAATGGTAAATTATGAGACGTTAAATAACCACATGTTGAACATAACTAAACACCACGTGTAAGCATCTGTCTCGAGTCAGCGTTTACCATGAACGTAAAAATAACTTTTATGGTATACAATCTTTATCAAGAAAATCATTTATTGTGTTCATCCATCATTTCACTCCTAACTAGTTCACCGATGAAATCCTCACCGTCTTCCTCCCAGCTGTCTCTGTCTTTGTCACTGTCCAATCCATGATCTGCTCTTTCCTCTTTGCGACAATCTTTTGGCTTACTTTCACTGTCTTGTTCACTAGGTTCAATAATTACTTGTTTTTCCTCTTCCTTCCTAAGATTATCTTGTTGAGATGATGATTTACTCTGTTTCTCTGAAATGCTTTGATTTTCCAGTGATGACAACTCTGCTTTCAGTGAAGAATCATTACCTTCTGAGGACAACTTTGTTTCTGTTGACAAACCAATTTTATCCCTTGCTGGACTCTCAATCACTGATGTATCTTCTGCTACTGAAGTCAAATCCTTCTCCTTCAAAGACAGAGACTGTGACTGTGACAAATCCTCTAATCCTGATGGAGAAATAAACGTCCTAGACGATGAAGTCCGAGATACTTCATCACATGAAGAATTATGTTCACTTTCCACTACACAGCCAATGCTATGAGCTGACATCATCTTCTCTGGTGTTGTGATCATGGAAGATGGGACACTGGGTGAGAGAACCATGGGGGATTCGAGGTCTCGCTGGAGGTTATAAATGAGAGCCTTGTACTGTCTATACTTGGCTTCTGAAAGTTCCCTCTGTTGGCTGGTTAAGATTCGTTCTGCATCAATCAGGTTCTTGGAACTACTACTGAACTGGCTTATGTTTGGGTCATATGCTACCCTTACTTGTGGTGTCTGAGATGTTGTAGTGGTCATATTACCGAGACTTCCCAATTTCCCATTTTTCAGTACATGAAAAGTTCCTGGTGTCTGATCATTTTTTGTACAGGGAGAATCAGAATATAAGAAAGAAGTATTAAATGAAACAGCTGGAACATTTACCTTCTTTACAGGTGTACTGGCATATGATCGACTTTCATCCAGAATGGACAGTTCTGACAGATCATTCTTCTTTGCACATGAGCTTTGTTGATGTCCCACATCCTTGGAAAATGTTGATGTCTTAGAAATATCATCAGTGAGCTGGGATGACTGCTGGCCTGTGACACAGTGCTCAGTCCATGTTGAGCCAAAGTTGGAAGTTCTTGGGAGATCTGCTGTTTTCCAACTATGTAGACAAAGTTTCCTCAGCTGGGTTTGCAGCCACCTGCAGCCGTAAGTACTGTACTGTATTATTAAAAATTTAATTCCAGATATCTGAAAACTGTAATACAAATCAATGGCTATTTCTGAGCTTTGACTTATGAAAGCAAAAGCTGTACTGAAGGACACGGCTTCTAAGTTTTTTAAGTTAAAAATATATTAGATTTAATACTAAATATATTTCACTAATAACTTTGATTCAAAACATAACAAACAAAATAGTACATAATATATATATATATATATATATATATATATATATATATATATATATATATATATATATATATATATATATATATATATATATATATATATATATATATATATATATATATATATATATATATATATATATATATATATATATATATATATATATATATATATATATATATATATATATATATATATATATATATATATATATATATATATATATATTGTAACACAGTTTATTATTAAACTGCATAGGTCAGTCATAAGATCACAATACAGTATACAGTATATGTAGTTTGGAAGCTATGGTAATCAGAGGTAGAGTACGGACAAACAGTTCCTGTCTACTGGGGTAAGTTTGTATAAGCATGAATTTCTTACAGCGAATTCTTATGTACATCAATATATTTGTAGCAAAGTACTTCTGTTACTATTCTGACTTGTGGTGGCAACTGGTAAGTATGAACAGTGATCAAAATTTTGTGGTTTTTTTTTTGCCAACTTTAATCCTAACCCTTGGAGTAAAATGGGATAATGTCATATTTCAAATTAATCTTTCCCTATAAAAACCTTTTACTCAATCCGTAAGCCAAGTAAGGTTGCACAACCATCACAAAAGTACAAAAGCACAGAAACAAAGAAAAACAACAAGTCGTGTTTAAGGATACGAAAGATGTTGTTTGGGATAAGTGATAATGACAATCAATGGCTCAATGAAGGAATAAAGAAATAATTATTCCAGCGAGTAATTACCTACCTAAGTCTTGCCTGTTGAGCCCCAAACCAAGCATCAGGGTCAAGGCGCAAATCAGGACCGGGATGAACCACACACGGCGACAGAAACACGTGGGATGTCAAGATTCCCACCGTCACGTCGATATTCTCACCGAGGGTAGACAGCATGACCTGACAGACAAATGTAAATAATGTCAATATGTCACATTATGTCATTTACAAATGTTTCTTCTAATTGCAAATAAATGTGAACGAATTGTAGAAAAATTCCAACATTGGTGGAAGGGCTTTTGCTCCACTGGAAGCATTCATGTTGTTTTCATGCACTTATAAATTTGATTTCAGTGATCTGGACTATATCACAAAAACTTGTTTTTAGAAAAAAAAAAAGGCTTTTTTTTACTTTCTATTCAAACATGATCTTTTTTAGTTTAACACGATCGACAGAGTTTGTTCGTGTCCCCAGATTCTCCACTACAGCACTAAGTTCTACCCTGACCACCATTTACCTTTCACTCACATCATATTCGCTCAAAAACTTTATATAATGTTCTTTCATAATTTACCTCCCCCTTAAAACCACAAGTACAAACTGGACATTAAGTGACAACAGTGCTTCTGTAACTGAAAACCAAGGGAAATCTATTTTGTTTAAGGTGAAAATACAAATTATTGAGCAGTATGAGGAGGCACCTGATTTATTTATGACTATAGTATTTACATTTTTTTATTTACTTTGCGTATGGTACAGGACTGTATACTAATAAGTACATATTAAATTAATACTTCTTGAACATAATCCCCCTCAAACACACAATCCCCCACCCCCTCTCTCCCCTTTTACAGGATGTGATTATCAACTTCACTTTAAGTGTTATTTTAGCAAAGTACTGTCGTGTTAACTGAGGAATACCTGTACAGTATAGTATTTGTCTTTCAAGTCAAGTCTACAGCGACAGAGAATGAGAGAAAGAAGGAAAAGGGGGGTGGGGTGGGGGTGGGGGTCAGAGGTGCTTCTTGGTTCTGGACACACTGCACTTCATGGGAATGGGTGTGTGTGTGTTGAAAAAATCAGTCTTTGTGAGAGAGTAGAGTTGTGTGAGTGTGTGGTACTGCAATGTGAGTGGGGTGAGGTGGGGTGTGGTGGGGTTTACTCTAAGAATCATTATATAAAAGTATGACACTAATCCTCTTTCTCCCAAGGTGGTATTGTAGTTTCACTAAAGCCATGTACTGTACTCTACCTAGGAAATACATGTAAAAGTATAGTACGGTATCTTATTTATGACACAAGTGACATTAGGATTCATCATACCTTTAAATTTTCTTCCAGTGCAGCAGATGTTTTACCAAGCTCTTTAACCTGTGCAGTATACTGCTGTGAAAGCTCTCTGTGTCGGATCTTCTCGGCCTTTTTAGCACGATAGGCAGCACGAAGCTGGTTGTACTTTGCCTAAGTTGATGGTTTAAAAATAATAATTAATTACATATTTCTACTGAAGAAATAAAAAAACCTATCAAGCTTTTTACAGCAATATGCATGACCGAAGCAAAAAAATAAGCATAGAATAAGCTGACTAAAGCCTAAGATGTCAGTTTTATGTATACATCTTATGCCTTCAGTTTCCACAGATGATGGTATTCATTTGTCTCCACATATTGTACCACAACTATTGCCAATGTCCTAAAAGTGAGCAATATCCTAAAAACAATAAATCATGCATATGTACAATAAAAAATTACAATTGGGTACAACAATATTTGTCACATCTCTTTTCATCTATTGCAGATCAGATGAAAGAGAGTTTGTGAAATGAAGCTGACCCATTACTTACATTAATAATTATCATTCTGTACATTTCTAATTATTATTCTGTTGATTAAACAAAATAATTTATGTCCATTTGTTCTCTCTGATAAATCACCTACACAGGATTGATCTCACTGTAGGACAAGATAAAACACAGGACTGACCCTGAAATACTCTTTTAAAGGTGAGTCTCGACCAGGTGACTCATATAAAACCTGGATCAAGTGACTCGTATACTGTAGAGTCAGACAAGACTACAAGTTACAGACCAAGGGTTTCCAGGACCCCAACTAGTGACCAGACAGCATGTTTACATTTGTGACAGGACACAAAAATCATACACGTCACTGAGCATTTGTCCCTCTTTCTTTGTTTATCCTTGTGACTTTATGTAGAGTTAATATTTTTCACTTAACAAATATCCTTCATGTTTTCTAGAGCAATGGCTTCTGCTGTAACCATAAGCTTTGAGTCTTATTGAATGAATAATATCAGTCACTCCAGAAATACTCTCCGACTTTAAAGGACTATAAGTGACAACCTCACCCGATTTCCCCCTCATAAATATACCTGAATGAACGCAAGATTTTCACGTCAAGTTATTTTTGCCTTTAAAATTAGGACCAAACCTGCAGATTTTCATGGGCTTCAATTGTTTCCCGGACACTGCGTTGGAGGATCAAGATGCGTGCGGAGCTTTCGTGGTCGGCAGCCTCCAGCAGACGAGACCTCAGCTGTTCCTGGTGCAGTTGACCCTGAAGGATGAATAGACACTCAGTAGTCATGAACTCATAAATATCAACAGAAATTATACAGTACTGAGAATAATACAAAAAATGTTAGAGTATGATTCATAAGAGTGCTCATGTGATCCTCCCATATAAACAATAATTATCATAGATTTTATGGTTTTAAAATGTCTCCTCCTCCTCCTCCTCATCATCATCATATCCAAAAATTTAATTGATACCAACAGTCTTCATGTCTGATATCTGTGACACATTTCTTGGCAAAAAAAAGGAAAAAAAACTTGAATAACAGAATCTACTCTTTAAAAATGCAATAAAAACATGCATAAAACATCTAACATTTCCTGGGTAACTGAGAATATCCCCTACACATTAAGGCTAAGTGGGAGCCTAGATAAAGGGCCAAAAATACTGCCTTGCATCATTCACCAGACTCTTATAGTGTAAATTTTGTCTTGAATTTCAAAATAAATCCCTGAGCTCTGGTCCTGAGAGGTGGAAAGAACATGGTGAACTAAGAACATTCTAGAACCAATCTGATCAGTGGAGTTTCTATACTGAACTGTTATAGTATTTATTCAGCACTAAAAATACATGACTTATGAAGACAGGATAGTTAATCACAATACAAATAATAATATTACTAAAATATAAAGCATAGTGGTAACATTAAATAAATGCTGATGTAAAAGTGTTCTTTATCTTTGTTCATGATGATGCTTGACAACATGTTATCATGAACAAATTGTTGAGGTGCTGTACATCACTTGACATAATATATTTGGTTAACCTGTAAAATAACTTCAGGCTAACCTTGAGCTGAGTGACTGTCTCCAGCCAGTACCTCTCTCCTCTGGCAAGGACCAGTTCACTCTCAGCAGCCATGGCAGGCAGAGAGGCTGATGATGTCTTCTCTTTCTTGATTTCTTCCAACTGGGTTTCTGCATTCTATAATGAATAAATAATCTGATAAAATTATCTTTCAGGGTGTCTACTGGCCAGACACAACAATATTCCTTGCCTTTTCCAGGTTTTCCAGATCAGTAGACACCCTGTCTTTAGATCATGTAACCTGGATCAATTTTACAAGTCTAAGTTTAGTAAGATTATGGTCTATTAGTTTATCTTGAATTATTCCCATTTCCAAGTTATAACATCATAGTCAACTCAGTAGTCAAGCTATCAACTAACTACAAAGGAAAGAAAATTACACTATATCATGTACAGCAGGTAAATATTTCTTTAAAATATTTACATACTTTTATAGTGAAGAATGAAAATATTATTAACAACAAACTACCCATAATACTAATTCCATACTTGAGAGTAGAAAGCCACTTACCCCAGACTTAATAATTCTCTACTGAATACAGAGATGCTGTACCTTCAGTTTTCCTTTTACCTCCTAACTCCTCTACTGTAATAATGATTTCTACACACACACACATGCATCTTTTCTCATGACTCTGCTCACTGAAGCTCACTTTACTGTTCTTAATATTCTTTTATGAAGATCCTACCTATCTATGCACCTGTCCATCAACATTACTACACACCTCATAGGAATGACTTAACAGGTTATCCATCTTTTGATATTTAGTACAGAATTACTCAGATTAGGTTGTTATCCACTCCATTTCAGTATATCTTTCACTTTCTTTCTACCCACACACACACACACTTTGTACTGAACTCCTGATATATGACACTGGGAAACACCTTGCCACATCACTACACATCAGAAAAACACATTTTACTCCTCAACGTTCATACCTTCCTTCCATCTATTTCCTTTTGGAGTTGTTCCTGTCCTTTCTTAAATTCATTCTGTAGACTTTCTAATCTTCTGTCAGTCTCCATCAGCCTCTCCCACTGACTTGCATTGTTGTCATTTGCCGCCCGGACATCCGCTGATTTCTTATCCAACTCGTTTTGTGTATTTGTCAGTTCAAGGCATCGTTTGTTCTTCTCCTCCTGTAGGGCTGTTATCTGGCCCTTTAATTCCTCAACCTGTGAAAAGTTGACATAACTTAGATAGTTTCATATTAATAAAAGCTCAAGTAAACAAAAGTCCTGCTGGCTATATGAACACTGATACCAATACCCATCTCCACTGACCCATATATCTTCAGTACAACCTTTTTCAATAAGAGCAAACCATTGTAATCTACCCAAATTTTTATCACAGGGGTACAATACTCTTTTAATACAAACATAGATACCCAAACAAGAGAAGCCTCTATTAATGTACACAAGATGGAAACACAATATACTGTATATATGAGGAAAGGTTAAAATGAACTTGAGAATAACTAGAATAATATAATACAGATAGCAATGCCTCCCTAGTCAGAATTACATTAACTAAAAGAACCTGAAATTGAGACGTAGAGGAAGTATGTCTGAAGTGTGTTTGAGGGTATTGGGGTGGATGTTTACTCTCACCTCTTTCTTGGATGTGCTGAGGGTGATGCTGGAGGTATGCTGAAGGCTCTCTTTCTCAGCACTGATCCTGTCCCTCTCTATGGTGCGTTGATGAGCCTCTTGCCAAGCCCGTTCCACTTCACTCTGTGGTGGTTGAGAGAAAAAAAAAAGAAAAGAATAGATTTAGAGGAATTTACAAAAAGGTTCTGTCTGTCTGTCTCCCACACCACTGATAATTTTTAAGTTTTCACAATAATAACTTTATGAACCTCTCTCAAAATGTGTAAAAATATCCAGCTCTAATATACCCTAAGCATTAATCCGAGAAAAAATACATTGGGAACTGTTAATCTAAGGTAATTTAAGATGTACGGCAGATTAAAGCAAGGTAGCAATGATAAGGAAGATGTTACTTGCTTGAGAAACTTATTTTTTCCCCAGATATTCCCTGTTAAGTTATGGATGCATCTAATATGAGGGTAAATATGACATTAATATAACAAAAACCTTTGCAAATGTAGAAAAAAATATTTATGAATGACACAAATTAAATACTCTTCATACTTAGTAAAATGACTACCGGTACAGGTAATAAGAAACTGAACATTGATACTAAATATATGTGATTCACCTGTAAGTTACGTGTTCGTTCTTTGAGGCGCTGGGTGAGTCGGGTGCTACCAATGGAGTCGGACAGTGTCAAGGAGCTATCATCTTTTCCATCTTCAAGTGACCTAAAAAGAAACAACCAAATACACATTACAGCTCTCCTCACATGGATGGGTCACCTAGTGGCCTCTTAGTGTGGTGAGTCACATGGAACAGAGCTATTTTATTCCCGTGTGTGATCAAGACTCGCATGGAAACTCAAGTTAACAATAAGCAAATCTCACTCTCCTATAGATATTCTTTGGATTGTCTTACATAAATTAATTATACATCATCTAATTTTAGAGGACAAAAAAGACAAATGAGTGTAACCATACAACAACAAAATTTTCATGGAATTTATTAGCTCTATAAATACTGTGGCCTCAATCTATCACACACAAGGCTGTTCATCACAAGATATATTATAGTCTTTGCTTAATCTTGCTATAAAACTTGCATGGGATGGCAGAACATATTGACACATGTAGAGAGAGACACAAATTAACATACATATGCAGGGAGAGTGTCTTAAGAATGAGCCTTTAGTACACCTTGTCATGACCATAACAGTTAATTTTCTCTATAACTAACCTGAGTCTTTTCTGCAGATCCTCCTTCTCTGCTACCACTTTGACAAGTTGTTCCTTGGCAGAGTACATCTGGTCACTCAGGTTGCGAGAAACTTCAACCACTTCCTCCAGTCTAGATGCTAAGCAATCATTCTCATTTGCTAATGTAATAATACGATCTTGAAGAATTTGCTTCTGATTCTCTGGAAAAATAAAATACCATAAGGAAATTTTAATATGTAAAAACTATATTACAATTTAATATTAGTCAACAAATCATCCAAAACGTATTAAAACTTCCTTAATTTGTACACCTGAGACTGAAAGACATTATTGTGTGATGAAACAGTCTTAAATACCGAGTCTTACTGTAAATAACATACTGTAGTACAATTACCATCAATCTTCCATGGCAGAAACTTTTAATAATTCATCATGTTTGAAAGGACCTTCCAAGAGATGCATCTTATCTTCTTCAGCCTTTTGAGATCTACAAGTAATTCACCTCTAACTTGATCAATCATACCATGCAAATTATTCCATTATTTACTGATATTTCACTGAGCATTACAGCCGACCAACCTGCTTGTTCTATCAGTCTTGTCCAGTTCTCCTTCTCCCGCCTGAAAGTTAAGTTGAGTAGCCCTTCTGACTCCGAGATGTATCCTTCATTCTGCCCCACTGATGCTCCTTCCTTCTCGTCTAAAACAGGTCCCTGAGGTCTGGACAACTGTTTATCATTACCTCCACAACTGATGTTGTTTTCTTCATTTATGCCAGTTTCCAATGGGATAGATGGCTGGGACTCTGCACTTGATTGTTGATAAGCCTTTGTCATTGAAAATCTCCTTTTACCTTCTAGAACTGATTCTGTACTAGTGGTTGTTCTGGCTGCTGTTTCCTTTTTAAGGTTCTTCTTTTTTAACATTCCTAAATCCTGATTTGGTTCTTCTTCTTCTGGTGTTATGTGAATTATATTTCCTTCCAATTCCGGATCAATTTGTTCTTCTTGGTGAGCAAGAGTTTCATCAGTCGATATATGAAATTCTCCGAGTGTTGTGTCATGTAGTGTCTTGGCATCTTCATACACACTGCACTTCTCCTTGCTCCCCGCTCGTGCCAGCTGCAGCTTCCTCTCCAGTGATGCATTCTGGTTGACCAATAGCTCTATTTTTCCCATCTGCTTTTCAAGGGTAGTAGTCAATTCCTCATTTTCTTTTGCCAACTTGCCTAACCTAAATTCATAATTACTTCTGTCAGATGCTGCAGCAGAGGTCAATTTTTGGTCAATATTTTGTATCAGTTTACCATGTTCTTCCATTACTCTCATTATGGTATATTCAAGATTAGTTTCAGAGTTTACAGTTGAAGATTTTAAATCATTTAGACCACTGGCAATTACTTCATTCTGTTTTAATAATTCCCAAAGTTGAACGATTAGTTTGGAATCATCAATTCTCAAGTTTTCATCACAAATATGACTAGGAATATTTTCAGCATTAGAAATAGTTTGGACACCGGTAGTAGTTTTGGCAAAGTTTGTTTTTCCACCTATGACACTGGCTTCACTTTTGTCAGCCATACTAGTAGAAGCAATGCAATATTGGCTAGCAATAATATCAGATGTAGTCTCAAGATTATTTTCATTAGTTGTATTCACTCCAGGACGACTAGTAAAACTTGAAACAACTTCCCCATTTTCCACATGTTTAACGAGGTCAGCAGAAACATTACTTTGAGAAGGTCCAGTGTTACTAACAGTTGTTTCAGCTGTGTTATCAACAGAGCTCATAACATTGACTTTTTCTGAGGGTGTTCTAGCTGTGATGCTACCATTAACAATGACCAGAGAGTCACCATCAATCTTCCTGGTTACAACATCACCTGGACAAGTACCATCAACCACTGTTTTACAACTTTCACCATTTGGCATTCTTTCAGTACTGTCAGGGTCTCTAACAACAGTTGCCCTATCAGTGAGGCCTGCAGTTGGTTGATGGTTAGTATTCTCAACACCTACTTTCTTAACAGTAACTGTTAGGATGCTATCACTATCGCCATCATCAGTGACACGATTATCATGGGCTATAACAACTGGTGCCTCTGACTGACAACCTTTTTCATCTTTCTCTGCCTTAGATTTTATTTTGACTTCATCCAATTTCCGAGTCATATTTTGGTTTTGTTCAGAAAGTATTCGAATTCGTGCTTCCAGTCTTGCACTTTCTAAATCTCTCTCGGAAACTTCCTCACTTAGTCTATGGTTTAAATCTTGTTTTTCTTCTGTGAGTTTCTTAATTTTAAGCTTAAGTTTCTCAATTTCCTTAGAGTTGCACATTTCTTCAGTGTAAAGATCATCTTTCAATACAATTTGAGTAATCTGTGCATCTTTCTTTTCATTTGCTTCTGATTCATACTTTTTAATCAATTGTTTTTGTTCTTCATTCATTTTCCTTTCTTCCATTATTGTCTTGAAGAGCTTCTGATTTTCCTGACTCAAATGTTCAACCTCTTCCCTCAAGCTAGTTGTGGACTCATTATCAACTGAGATCTGAGACTTTGTGTGACTCAGTGCTTCTTCTCCTGTCACTATTTTCTCCAAGTCCTCTTCTGTTGTACTCTGAGTGTGAGTCATGGAGCTAGTACTTGACTGATCTAACCTATCATGTGCTGGCTCATTATCACCTTCAACTTTAACTCTTTTGGTTTTTGTTGTTTTGTTATTAATTTTTGTTTCTTGTGGATCCTGATTATTATTTTGTTCAATGAAAAATGATACAGCTTTATTGGTTTGTTTACTCTTGTCCTCTGGTTCAGTATCATCATCATCATCATCAACATTTAGAGACAACTTCAGAGCCTGGTTTTCCTCACTTAGTAAGTTAATCTGGGCTTCAAGGGCAAGTTTTTCTTGATCCACTTTCAAAATGGATTCACTTGTCATCCCCTGAAGAAACTTATGCAGTTGATGGTTCTCTCTTACAAGTTCCTGGATTGTTGCATTAATAGAATTGATCTCACTACTCAGCCCACTGTCACCTAAACCTGGTAAGTCGGCCTCGTCATTTTGTAGTTCCGTAATCTTTTCCTCATTTTCAAGATTCTCCATTTTGAGGCTGGGAAATTCATCTTGGTCTTCATCAATCATACTGAGGTAAGTTTCACCAACAGATGTACTGGACTTCCTCTGATGATGGCCATTTTCTTCATAACTCTTGCTTCGGCTTTTATATTTCTTAATCTTTGCTCTGAGTCTTCTGTTATCTATTTCTTCCAAGCTTTGACTTCTCATCAAACGTATATGTCTACCATTAGCAGTCTCAAGCTGCTTCAGCTCCAGTTCTCTCTGTGCTGCACGGTGAGCAATAAGTGACTGTAGCCTAGAATCTAGAACTTGTTTCCTCATCACTATATCATCAATATCTTTCCTTAGTGATCTGGTTTCTTTCATCAAAGGATGATGACAACTGTTCTGACCTTGAAGGCTATCCAGACCTTCATTGTGATGTCCAGTCTGGTAATAAAATACCTGTGTGTTTGGGTGTTCCTCATTTACACTTGGCACTACTTGACTAATGTTATCTTTTGTGAAGGACTTGAAATAATGTAAAACATTACTTGAGGTTGCCTGAAAATCATTGTCCAAGGCAGTTTTTTCCATATTTCTTTCAGTCATAGATCCATGTGGGGAATAATTAGTGAAAACACTCCTTGTAGCATCATGCTGGACTCCCAGCAGCCCAACATTTGTATAAGCTGGATCATGACTGTGACAGAGGGTCTGTTGGACACCATTTGTATACATATTGGAGTTCACATTAACTACATCTGAAGCAACTGATACATCAACAGAATGACTCCACTGTGCTGCTGAACCAAACTCATCAATGGGTTTATGAACCAGTCCCTCAACCTCAATGTCTTTCTCTTGCCAAATTGAAGGAGGAAGATTCTGTGGTTGTGTTGGCTGATGGCTACTGCTGGCATGTTGTGGATGTGCTGAATAATGACTGTGTGAGCTGAGACCACCATGTTCAATGTTCTTGGTCTGTGAGTGCTGGGGAGTTTGTTGTACATGATGTATACTGCCCAAGCTAACAGAGGCTGCACTTGTTCCTGCAGGGTGGGGTGTGGAAACCTGGAATACATAAAACACGGCTTATCAGTTATCTCACACAAACATAGAGTACTAAGTAATGACCAGCTAAGCTCCCCTTGAACTTAATACCCACTATTTCATCTGCTACTGTAAAAAGAGCCATTAAAAAGATAGGATCACCTAATTTGTAAATACAAGGTGTCATGCCAGCTTAAGAAAATGAAAGTACTGTATTCATTTTACTGAATAACTGAAAAAATCAAGCTGTATACAGAATGATACACATAAAGACTGAATACAAGTCTAATACAAATACCTAAGTAAGTTTTGTACCTATTGTATAAATTATTATCAAATTTACAGATTGCACAGAGACTGTATTAAAGAAAGAATATGTCAACCAATAGGTCAGCAATTTAGGAAATTATGTTGAAACCTACAAATACTAAAACTCTTCAATAACAAATTTTATGAATAAATTTTTAACAAGAATTGGCTCAAGAATTTACAGAGTAACCCAAGAGCTCGTGGAAAATTGCCATAAAACAGTGATGAAATTGATAATGATTGTGATATTAAAATTGTGATGTGATACGGAAAAACAAAAAAAAATCACTTCAACCAAAATAATCCACGAATGAGATAGCAATCATAGGTGTAAGTGGGTGTAGACATGTAAGACAATGATGCAAGAAACAGTACAGTACATCACAACGGACTGCTGCAATACTCAACACTTACACTTCATCGCCTACAGACACACATGGCATGGGACTATAGTTTAAGGCTCTCAATTTGTAGCTATATATGGTAGGAGTTTTATGTGATAACCCTGGTTGATTTTCAGACAGCAAAGAAAATAAAAAGATGTGAAGGAGACGAAAGGGAGAAAGATAAACAAAATGAAGAACAGGAAGAAAGGACAATAAAGAAGAATATGAAATAAATAAAAGAAGAAGAGTATGAGATGAAAGAACAAAAAGATATTCAAGGGAAAAGAAGAAAATACTAAAAGAAGAACAGAAAGACAAAGAAGGATCAAGAGGAACAGAAAAGTTGCCCAAAATAGAAGAAGAATTGGGAAAAGATAAGAAATGAAAAGCGTAATTTTATATCAACCACAATATCTTTACATCAAACTTACAAACAGAATAAAAACACTGGAGCTGCAATACCTTTCAAAAACAAAACTACCAATTAACAGAAGAATTACAGAATACGCAAGTTACTCATTCGAACATTAAATTTACTTTCTACCCTGATGAAGAAGTCGTGGAAAACTCGAACAAATTTCCCTCCCAATGGAAGTGCAAGTCATTCATCCTGTAAATGACAATGGGCACCTCTGGCTACCTTACCTTCACATCATTTTGTAGTGTCTCTATATCTCTTTCTTTCTCTCACTCCTTTGCAAATTCTGTGTTCCAAAACTCCTGTACATCTCTCCTACTTCCACCAAATCCTTCCTAATCCCACCTGCCTATTACAATTCATCCCACTTACTTTACTCCACTCCCATCCACTGACCTCTTCCACAACCAACTATCCACTTCCCTCCATCCAAATATTCTGATACCAATTACCAATTTCACTACCATCCTCCTCCTCTTTATCAGCTCAATTACAATGCCTTTGTTATAAATAAAATCGTCCACACTCATTATGTCTCCCGAGAAATTGCTCAAAAGGATCACAAAACACTGACGACAATGGTTGATGCTCCACCCAGACGAGAAGAATCTGGTCTAGAACAATACTTCCATGAGAGCTTTTCCTTCCTGCCACTAGATGTCTCTGCTCCAAGACTGATATATATATATATAAGAAGGTTTCAATCTGATAACTGTCAGATATAAGCACCTTGTTCTGTGAGGGTCGTGTCTGCGTCCAAAAAGTCAGAATGAAGTTCAAGGTAAGACAAAATCAAGTAATTCAGTACAGTTATGTAAAATGTCACAAATGGTACTGGTAAACCCTATTAATGTGGTGACTATAGATGTTATTTCATACTTTCAAGTTATTAGCCCCAGATAGCTCTCCTTTGAACTCAGAACTGATGCTGATTTCCGGTAAGTGAAGACCAACACGTGGGAGTTGAGAGGAACCAGGAACACCACCTGGATTCTCCCCATCTACTGCCGGATTTACTTGCCAGTTTACGTGCTCGTGTGATGCCGCCTTCACAGATTTTAGTCAACCACTCGATCCCATTCTTCCTATTTGTTTTAGAAATTCTACTCCAAAAAATTAACCTCAACCTGTTACTAAAATTATTATCTTGACCTTATATCCCTCACATTCTATACCTCACACTTATCATTATCACTGTATACATTTTCTACATATATATATTCTACTCATCTTTCTTATACCTATTCTGCCTCAAACAGCATCACAATACAGTATCTTCATTTTTTGTAGTTCTATCCAATTCAGAATCTTACAGTATTTTCTAGTTTATTTCTGCACATTTCCTGTAGCTATGTCTCCTGTCACCATCTTTTATAACTTTTGTGTATTTCCTTTTTTGGGGGCAAATCTTCTTGTAAGTCTCATTTCCTCTTAACAGCTTATTATTCCAATCTATTTCCTGAATTATGTGATCCTCCACTTTAAGACTTATTCCTTTTTTGTCCTACATATTTTGCCCCAACTTTCTATGCCTACTTCTAATCTCATTTTTGTTTTGTTTTCATTCCAGATTATTTTCCTCTGCATGACGCTCCAGCTTCACCAGCATGTAAGAGGACAACACACTAAGACAATGTACAATGGTCAGCAAACACCAGTGTCGAATTTACCTCAGGAAACAAAACCTGATGATGCCCTTCACTTACTAGAGGCACCTAATATCAAGAAAAACACATACAGTGTTGATGCATTGGAATCTAGTATATTTCTCACCCCAGAGTCAGCAGTCAGATTCTTCTCTACACCACAGTCAGAGGAGAGTCAACACCCACAGACACCGACTCATATCAACAAACAAGACCATTCACCATCTTCACAATTTGCTACGACACCTAATGACTCGACTGATGGAGCCATTATCCAGAAGACTTTCCCTAATCCTGCTGAAACTAAGGTCTCAAAAGAGTTTATCATCCCTACTCAGGAGAACACCCGCCGACACAGTCACCAGAGAGGACTTGTATCTAAAGCAACAGTTGTGAGTCGAGGGGACGCCAATGCGGAAGAGTCAGATGAGACCGTAAGGAAAGCAAGGGATACTGGGTATAGCCACAGTGGTTATGGCGATCATGGTGAACATCAAGATCTCACCAGCGCTCAGGGTCACGGTGGTTATGGCGGACGTCAGAGCAACAAGCACGGCTACTCCAAGGGGTACAGTAAAGGTTACAACCATGAATACAGCCATGTGTATGGTCAGGATCACAGGGAGGACCAAGGGTATGGCAGAAGGCTTTACGGATACGGTAATGGTGGTTACAGGCACGGAGGTGGATATGGATTAGGTGGATATGGCCTTGGTGGATATGGCTTAGGTGGATATGGCTTAGGTGGATATGGCCTCGGTGGATATGGACTAAGTAGATATGGCCTAGGTGGATATGGCCTCAGAGGACACGGGCTTGGCTATAATCTGGGAGGTGGCTTTGGGGTTGGCCTCAGTGGTGCATATGGGGTAGGGCTAGGCACAGGTCTCACTCAATATGGACAACTAGGACATCTGAGAGCTCTCCTTGGGCTTCACAATGGCGGACTAGGCGGCTTTGGCTTTTATCCCATCCACGGCTACTAGTGCCACATTTCCGAGAATCTGTAGACTCGATTCAGCAAGGTTTTTAAGTTTCTGTAGTGAGGTCGTAAGCTAATGCTAGTTCAAGAATATTATAATGTATTCTATTTTGTTCCATTTACTTTTTTTCCCTTCCAATTATAGAGCAATTTACAAGCAAAGGTTTTCATAACATTATTTCTTTTTTAAACTATAATTCATATCAGTAATCAGTTTAATATAAGGTAAGAGCTCCAACTTTCACGATTATTCCCATTAAATATAAGTTTATTTGACGGCTATCACCATGTATTCTGTATTTACGTATGTTTTGAATTATACATTGTAGGGTCAAGAATTTTGTTTTCATGAATGAGTAAAAAATAAATAACACAGAGATATCTAAATGAGAGACTGGATTAACCTTTTGAGTATGGTGGTTTAACCCTTTAAGGATGATGTTTTAACCTTGCGAGAACAATGATTAAGGAAGGTACAGCAGCTTGTACCCAATTAACAGGGTTATGTTCTCCACCTGGGATCCTAACCTCTATAAAGCAGGGTGGCCAGACTCAAGGAGGAAATACAGCACTGACTCTTCCTTCATTGACTGTCTTTTGTTTTCTCTATCTAGAAATAAATACTCACTTTCTTTTGTCTTCTTTAACTGGAAATAAATGCCCATATCATACTGTACCACTTATATTTGCCTGTCAACAACATTTCATCTGTAACTATATAAAAGCATACAATAGGGAAGAGTTAATTCATCACCCACAACAGACAAGAGTGCCTGCCTGCCAATCACTACCCATGATCATGGTAAAAAGGAATAATCAAGGTGTTACTGTCTGCAAGCATGACTCACCAGAAGAGGGTGTTGCTCATATGAAGTCAGTGTATGGGTTAGGTTGTGCAGGAGACTGAGAATCTCCTCCAGCTTGGCTTCGTCAGTTTTAGGTTCACCATCACCAAGCCCCTGAGCAGATAATGCTAGATTAGTGCACAGTTTACAATGGACTTCTGAGGTAGTTAAGTGAACAAAATTATGCAAGCTGTTAATAATTTGTAGGTACTCTACTGTACTATACTCATGAACAGAAAGTTTGAAGGCAGCAGGGAAAGAGCAAACAGTATTCATATACATAGTGTTAGAGACAATCAATTTTCTTTTAAAATATCTGGTTAAATCAATATGAACTCAGGATAATGAAAAATCTAATGATAAATAAACAATTATATATATAGTAATAGTAAAATGCAAGATTAGAAGTCAAACTTCATTGATATTTTCATGCATCCTTAATCCTTAAATGATGAATCATACACCATAAGAGGCTGATCACACAAGAAAATAATAATTAATCAATATTAAAAACCGATCCAAAGCTGGGGTACACATCAACATCCCAGCCCCACCCCCCCACTTGGTCACATCACACTATCTTCTGTCCGTGGCTCTCATTACGAATACTTACAGAAAATCCTGATTACACCATTGTATTCAGTTAGCAAAACCTATTATTTTACCTATTTTTTAAAATCCTCATCTTTACCTGTCAGAACAAATAGTCTACATAAAAAGCTTCCAGTTGTTTAAAGGTTAAGCCAATATGAAAAACTGGCAATGTTGAATCAGGCTTGGGTAAACTGAGTGAGGTCAACATGTTGGCAGTTTCCTATGGTGGGCCAGGTAATGTCTCCCGCATAACACTGACTGTCATAGATTTATCTGATTGTTTGAGAACATCGTCATCTGTTCCACCATCTCATATTACTGTAGATGCCAAAGAAGATTGCAGTTGGAACCTTGCTTCATAATTGAAGATACAATGATTATAAAAACCCATTTTCATTCTTAATCTTATTATCATAGTGTGCCATAAAATTTTTTGTATTTAACCCATCCACTGCAAACATGCCATATATGGAACAATCCACGCTGGCAGTTGAATGCGGATGCACCGTATATGGGTATGTATAAAAAATGCCGCACTGAAGGTACGGTACACTTGAAATTCAGACCAGCTGCACTGAATGGGTTAAAAACAAAAATTTGATAGTCCTTTGATATATTATGGTGGACTCTTGAGGAATCCAATGAAGCAAATAGAATCTTAACCCAATGGTTATGGACTCTCCAAAATTTTAAGCCACCAAATATTTTAGAAGAATTTCACATCACTGCTCTATTCTAATAACCTAAAGTTTAGTGAAACAGCAAAGTTAGTCCTTGTGACCTAGGAAGGAAACCTCACCTGGTGAATAGGAATGGTCACATGGCTCACAATGGTATGTTCTTTGTTTTGCTCTGCCTGGTTTTGAAGTCGACGATGTTCTAATATAAGATTGTCCATAGCTCTCAAGTTATGCTGTGTCTCCTGTAAAAGGTTTTCATGATGGTCAAGAGAAATTAATCATTGTCATATGTAAACCTATACAATGCGAAAGCAAATACAAAAATTAAATGCTATTTCTATTTGGAGATTTAGAGAGTGCTCTTAAATTATACAATAGAGACACCACACTCCTCAAACACACAAGAAAATATTATATTGGTTGACACTAATCAACATTTACAAGAATATAGACCAAAAGTTTAAACCCAAGAACACAGAGAGCCAGACAGTAATGAACAAAGAACACTGCAGGGGGAAGGGACCCATTTTCTTAACAAGCCTCATTGAAGAAAAAGGGACACTTTTCAACACTGCAACCAAAACTGAAACTTACTTTGAGCCAGAGAGGACATCACATGCATGGTCTTTAGGTCATCTTTCTCACATACACTATACTGTACCACAGCCTCAACAGCCAATGCACTAAATCTACCTCTCAAGTAATATACCCATCTTCCCCCTCTTCTATAATTCACCATAAACAACAGACACCTTTGTAATAAAAAAATCTAAAATAAACCAAACTAATAAAATTAACTTTGCATTTACTGTACTATAATGAATGATATTTAAGATATACAATAAATACTACACCTTACCTTTAATATAGAAGAGAGGAACTTAAATTTTGTCCATATTTCAGGATCAATTGAGAGCTCAGAGGAACTGTCAACTCCTTTGTCTGAGTATACTGAGGTGTTGAAACTTGTCTCCTCCAAGCTCGTTTCATTCACAGTCTCTCCTCCATCACTGACGGACCTCGAGTGACAGAGGTCGTCGTCTTGATCATCAGTGCTACACGTATCTCCTTGGCTAATTTCACTCTTTCGTCTCTTGTGCTGCCATGCCCTCGAACTCTCCCCTCTGCTGTTTGATGTTCTACTGCTAGACCTGACACTAGTATGGGATATTTCACCATCACCTTCATAATCCCTTTGGTCCATGTCACCAAGTAAGTTCTTGTGAGATCTTCTGGAACCTTTACTTGGAAGACTGAACTGTGGCCTACCGCTGTGGGACGATGATACGCTCATGCTCTCTAAATGCTTGGACTCGTCATCTTCTTCACGTTGACCGCCTCCCTCACACAACGAAATGGAACCAGCTTCTTTTACTGGATGACTCTGATGAAGTTCACTTGAGTCTTCTCTCCTCTCCATTTCTCTCTTTGCACCCTGAGCATCTTTTCTCAAGCTTATCTTTCATCATACTTGTATTGCTGCCTCGGGTTACTTCATATTCAGGTTCATTAGATTGTGTGAGATGCATCTCTTGTAAGTTTCATTTGTTCATATCTGCAAATAAAAAATAAGGGAAGAAATAAATTACCTAAACTGTACCACTAAAACAACCTCTGGCCTAACCTGCATATAGCTACTAGGAACACTTATGGCAACCATTTTGACATACGTAATTGAAAGAATCGCTACCACACAAGCCGAAACCAAGCCGTTGCTGATTTTGACACCATCACAGCTAAAAAAAAACAAGATGGAATCCAGAGACCCAATGATACTTGCTGCTATTAGTATATTATTAGTGTGGTTCCAAGGATTTCAGTGTGCCTGTAAAATTGGTGGGAGAGTTTTGAGCTGCTGTTGAAAGTGTTTGGGGAGGAGGTTGAGTCAAGTAACCACAGGACATAAACAACAGCAGTGTGATGTTCTTTTTAGTATTTTACCCTACAATTTCCATCTACTTCAAAGCCCTGCCCACCTGGAACAACCATGACTATTGGTAATTGGGGGGAGGTCATATCTCCATAACGGTTCATTTGAGACGGAAATGAAGGTCAGATTCGTTTGGACAAACACCAAATACACTAACAAAACCTATATTTTTAGTAGTTTCCGTGGTGTAACTAAAACAATCTTTACCTCCTTTGTTGGTTATCCTTGGTCATTCTGCCTTACTGTTTACCATCGTAGTTAACCGGCACTGTCTCGGCACACAGGAAACTGTATAAAGCAAATTTACAGTTTCAGCCACAACTACTGTTCGACCACAAATTTTTGTTTTTCCCACGGTATTTGGTGATTCATTCATATTTGACCTTCATTTACATCGAAAATGAATCGTTTTGCAATTACCACCCCCCATACAACCTGACCTAACCAACCAAAGAAACCTAACCCAACCTCACCTAACTTCCCAGTCGCCCCTACTACATTAAACAGAAAGTACTTAGTTTGATATCTGGCACCAATGAAAGCAACTTTGTTGAAGTATCATGGTGTAATTGTACAGACAGATGGCACGCGGTGACTGCAGATTTACACTGATTTCTTACGTGAACTTACTTTCTTGGTTAATATCCATTTGCAACAGAAGTGGTATCAAAAAAAGTTATTCCTATAGACAAGATATAACTAATGGTAAACACAAAATTGCTCTAACCAAGTTGTGACTGAAACTGTATTAATACAATACTCTCAGCTCAAGGTTTGTGTGCACTGTATACCTACACTGTCTATAGTCAAACTGAATACGTACTCTATATACATGCCTATCCAACTGTAAACCGTTATGACATTCTCTAAATAAATAATATTAGTATTTGTTATTATTAACTGTGCCACAAGATAATCATCACGAACGTCAGTACATAAAAGTAATTTGTAAACTTCTCCAAGGTCTCATTTACCTTACTGCAGTTTGTAGCATGAGACTGGTCAATATTTGGTAATTAAGTTTGGAACATTTTTTGTTGTAATTCTTCAATAACCGTATTATGATTTCCTTGCGGTTAAATGGTAACTCACAACTTATAACCTGTCACTGATATTACTTATACTTACACTTTATCCTCTTCGCCACTGATCGGCTTTTAAAATTATAATAAATTCTCTGGCTTTAGGCTAAGTAATCATTAGTTATTACCAAAGATATTACGTGTAGAGACTTGGTCACTGCCTGTGCCCGCCGCCTCGCTCATCTCTGTTTGTTTACATGTTCTTGTTACTAACCAAGACAGCCAGTGTTAAGAAAGTACCACGAACGAGTCCCCTAAACCGCATATTTATTTTTATGACAAGTAGATACTTATTCTACCTTAACCTAAAATTAATTGAATATTTATATTAAGGGAAAATTAAAGTTTTAATAAGCAACGTAGTAGGTAATATAAGCGTTATGTAGACTTGGTTTTGGTAATTTTTTAACATTATTTTATTTTCCTGCCAATGACCTGCTTCACAAAGATAGAAAGACGTGAAGCTTCAGGTCTTGTCTACCTTACCTTGTGCTCCCATCTCATGCATGAAGGAAAAACTTCTCAAAATATACTAACAAATTACTTCCAATAAATAATAAGTTTATGTTAATAATTCAATAACAGATAAAGAAGATTCTAGTAATAAATAGATCCCTTAAAGGTCTTCTTTAGAGATGAAAATACACTAAAATAAGACACATGAGAATACATTAAATGCAATGAATGATTTAAATTACACTAATTAAATGGACATACTTGGGGTTATCATAGTAATTAAATCGTGTTAGTATTATATATGTTTCTTTCTCTGTGAAATATTTAAATGTGCTGTTTTACTCAAGTCCCTATGACGTAGTGAAGCTATCAAACAACCGAAGATAAAGACGATGATGAGTTAAAAAAAATTAATGTGTTCTGCGACTGAACTTTCTTTGTGTGGTGGGGGAGGCACATTGCTTTGAATATACAGTTCACATGTATTCCGCAACATACTCAACCCAGAGACTCCATTTAGACAAGAGTGACGTATCCGGTAGTCTGGCAAGTAAGCACAGCAAATTTACTTAACAGCAGTAAACGGAACCACCCAACTTCTGACATTGTAATTTTAGATTATGTTTTCTTATATGTTTTGGTCGGATAAAATTTCACATAAGGCATTTTTTTTTGCATATATTACACAAACAATGGTAAGTGAATTACAGAATCGGTCGACATGTTCAGTTTCCAGTAGTTGCTCGCTCATGTCCTGCAAGTCAGCGACATCACTTGATGCTACATCCTGTCTTCCTGTACCTAAAATTTGAACTGCACAAGCTTTAACTTAAAAGCCTCTGTCCTGACGGTGTTTTGTGCGACACTGCTCCTTAAAGGCTTAGGTGTTTCGTTTTGATTACAGGGAAACCAAATCCTGTATTAAAGGGACGGTGGTCACTCCTGCAGATAATAGACATGTTAATTTGAATGACGTATCTGTGATCATTCATAAAATTAAAAAAAATTAAAAATTGAATGAATTAAAAGTGATGCTGCCCGAATCAGATCACTCCGTAACTAGAATCTTAATGAAGGGAGGGCGCTCAGACCTGCATATGGAGTGTAGTTTGAAATTAATTGTTGTTGAATAAAACTGAACGCATGACTGGCAAGATCTGGTAAAACTATCATAAAACGCGTTAAAATCTACCTAAAAAAAATAATAATCCACTCGTTCAATAATACAAAATGAATTCATTACTATTTATACATGGATGTACAATTGACCGTATTTTTCTATAACAAAGGAAAAAGAAATCAGAGACAGGATATCAGAAAGAAAAACAAACAAAGCTGAGAAAGAGAATATAAAAACGCGTCCACACACGGTCACAGTTCCCTAGTGGCGGCAAAATACTGGCTCCTTTGTCTCAGCTTGAGGATGGCGGGTCGCGGATGTAGGAGTCATTAGCGGCGACCTGATAGTTCCAGGACTGTGGTATTTCTTGGTGTTATGTGGTCAATCCGTCATCTATGATAAATGGGTAAGTTCTTTAGTATACGTTTTCCCTTGGTTGCTGTTGCTGCTAGTTCTGCCGTATTTGCTTTTAAATGCTCATTCCATCATTTTCTTAATGTTTTTTTTATTCTTTCTGATTTCACTTAGTGTGTTTTGACGCCGTAACTACAGAAATCAAGAAGCGGCAAAGTTGCAATATCACAAGTGGAGGTGTTACTGTTCCCTGTAGTGTAGATAACAGTGTAGTTAATGATCCAGTGGTTCCCAAACTTTTTGCTCCTTATACTCGTATTTTATAACTTTCAAGATGAATTAAATCGTAATTATTTCATCCATGTATATCTTACATGTGGGGAAAGATTGAAGTATACTTAAAAAAAATTGTTACACACTTTTATTGAAAATTTCTTTTAATAAACGAAAAATAATGATAATATACTGTATATGTTTTACACACGATCTCACGCCCTCCAGTTTGGGAACCACTGATATAATCAAACACAAGGAATAATGATGTTTAGGAGTAGATGCCAGATATTACCAATTATCGAGGATATTTTGGCCACAACCGTGTGTGTGATAGTTTATTAAAGTTAATAAATTTATTCTAAGGATCATCAATGAGAAATTCACTATAACACCGTCGACACATGCAGAATAACACGGTGGCGTCAATACACTCTTACAACTTTTAACTTTTTACGAATTTGCTGCATTTATTCAGGACATGAGTAAGAATACAGTGATTACTGAAATATAATACTAATAAAATACAATGCACGAGCGTGTGATTGGTCTGTGTCCTGCCGTAATCATCCAGAATATGGCGGGGAATATGTTCTCTGCAGTGAATTCTAATGCAGAAAATTACCTGCCGTCTTTGTCTCTCACAATCTGTCATTCTTTCACATATCTGTAGATTTTGCCTTTTTTATCTATATGTATTTTCCATTGTCTTTGTCCAGTTGTGGGCAAAAATATTTCTGTAAGGAGGGGGGGAAGTGGATTTGTATGTAAATGTCCGAACTCACTTTTGTTAACTTGGGTAGAATTTCGCCTAGATAAATGTAATATATTCTTCTCTATTGCATATAATATTAGGCTAAATTGGTTCCCCTATTGACTGTTGTCTAACTTGACAGAGTGTAGCAGATGTAACCTGGGAAAAATTCGCCGCTTCCAATACCCAGCTGCTCCGACCCAACCAACCAGCCAGTCAGTATAGGACAAGGTAAGTTGCTTTGTTATACAGTTAACTATTTATTTTTCTATCCCTAAGTTGATAAACATTTGTAAACTCTTCACCATCACTTATCTTTCGAATCAGTTGTGACCTCATTATAAATCAAATCGTCAACCATCAAAAATAGTCTTATATTATCGCGTTCTCTTTCATTTACTTTTACAGAGTCTGACGTTGTTGATGCTATTTAGTGACTAACTGTATAAAAATAAGTAAATAAAGTACACACACAGGGACCACTTTTGTATTAAACCACCAGGGTACATGCATATTTTTTGAGACGAACTAACCTAAGATATGATACGTTACAGAAGGTAGATTTTTATGAAGTGTTAAC